AACCACATCGACGCCCAGGATGTCCGAACAGCTGATTGTCCTAAAGCAAACTATTTTGTACATAGTGTATGTTTATTTTATGTTAAAATAAATGGGTTTTATAAGATACTTGTCATCCTTGTCTCCTCCACCACCACACATGTACGAATGGACCATCACCGATGTGCAATTAACTGACTGCCCTGGAAGTCAGCTTTATATATAAACATAGCTTCCCTATCATCAAATGTCACATCATGTCACTGATAAGATGCCAGATTTAGACTGTATGGTGGATGATGAAAAATAGTCTGATCTGGATGTTTGTTGTTCTACTTCTAAACTAGGGTTTATACAAAAACTGGCTTTTTAAAAATCCAGTTTTTGAACCTCAAATTTTCTACAAAACCAGTTTAACCAGTTTTCGAATTTTCAACCCCCCCAAATTAAGATAAGGAAGAATATTTACAACTTATTTTAAAAGATTTTAATTTATTAAATACTGTATTTATAAAAGTCAAAAATATAACAAAATAAAATTGACCGATGTCTACACAAAACTAAACCAACGAGAATGCTAGATTATTACATTAAACTATAAAATTTACTCCATAGAAAACCATAAAGAAAAACGAACGACAATGAATGCCTAAACAAGAGAAGAATTTTGTTTCATTTATGTCACTTTGTTTTTCTGTAAGAAGTCTGTTTCTATTCAAACATTTCATGTCAGTCCTATATAGCTTTATTACATTATATATGAAAAAATCTTGTTATATGCAAAAAATATCACTTCACATGTAATAGAACACAGACTAATTTATAATTGGAATAAGCAGAAAAAGAATATCCTTTGTTATAGGTTACTTACAGTATACTACATTTAAACAAATTTCTTTTCATCTCATTATTAGGAAGTATTACATAAAAATTAACTGTAGTAACAGAAAACAGTCTTCACAATGAAAAATAAGAATAAATTTCTATATTGTAAATATCAGTAAAATGAATATGCGGATTTATATAACATAATCAAATCAATTTAATTAATTTAATATAACATATTTTAAACATAAAACAATAACAACAGTGTCTTCAAATTTAAGATACAAGANAGAAATAATTTAAAAATTTTTTTATAAACATATTTAAAAATTTTTACTAACTTATGGTTGTAACACAGTAGTTATATTCACCCTTGTTGTTTTGACACATTCAATACTTGGCACTCAGTTTACAGGACTATATGATATCAAAAGGAAAAATTACAAAGGAAAAATTACAAAGGAAAAAATTAATTATTTGTATAAATATATTTGATAAAGATAAATTATCTGCATTTGTAGTGATATGTTTTATAATGAATTAGTTTAGTAATTAAATAAAAGTAAGACTTCTTTATGTTGTTTAATTTGAAGGCATAAAACTGCTAAAAGTGTAGGTATAAAAATTATGCAATGTCAATCTCAGTTGTATATTTAACTTACTTTACTTATTCTCATTTTCACAAAATTAGTCATGAAAACGTTTAATAATATTGTTCCTAACTATTGACTATATATTTGACAATCAAACAAACCACTTAGTAATTGGAAGCACCCTGGACTTCATAGATGGCATTACCAGATTTGCTTTAAATATACACATGCTAACTTTTTGTCAAATGTTTTTGTAAAAAAGTGTGCAGATTATTCAAGTAAATATAGTAATTTTTATTTTAAAAATTTATCTTGATTTTTTCCCCAAAATGCAAAATTTTTCCATTCAACCAAATAAAACATACCAGCAGACTGGGGACTACCCTGCTTAAAATAGTCAGCGTGATTACCTACTCTAATAGTAAGCCCTAAATTAGGGCATGTAACTTTCTAGGGTCATTGCTGTGGACTTAAGTGGTCTTAGTATTTAAAGTCAGATTATTATGTGTAAAATATTTTTTTCTTTCATTTACAATAATTTTATGTATTAATTTCTATTGCACTACATTATAGGTTAAAAGCAGAAAATCTAGAGGATACTTACTCTAGCAGTTTCAAGTTTATTTTTCATATTATTATAGTAAATCAATATTGGAAACATTATTCATTAAACTGAAGCCCTGAGAACTGTTCTTGACAGTTGATGGTTTCTGAGTTTCATGTGCTACAGTACTCTCATCAGTAAATGAGTTTAGCTTTATTATTTTTTAATTTAATTCATCATATCCAAAAATTCAAAAATAATATTGAAAGATGAAAATAGAGGATTAAATGGTAATTAGGAATTAAAGTATTATTTTGTTTCTGTGAGAGATAAAATGGCTTGTTTGTGGTTTAATACAGTAATTGTAACAACAAAAAATCCAATGCATGTCAGCATTATACAACTATACATTTTTTATCAATGTAATATCAATATGAATACAACACAATATTCAAAAATTATTTAAAATTTTCTATTTGAATACAATTCTATTCACATTCCATAATGTTTATGATAAAATTATTTTGTAATAATGAAACTACTTGAACACTATTAAATTTAAAATATTTATTTTAATAACTCACATCTTGATTTTATCATCAAAAGGCAATTTTTGATTTGATACTTTTTAAAATAATTTGATTAAAAATATTTTCAAGATAATATTTCTTAATTTATTAAAAATATCTAAAAAATTTGAAATAAAACACAAATGTAAAAACTGAATAAAATAATATTGCAAAAATTATTAATTTGATACTTTTCTTTATCCAAAGCTTTTAGTGATAGTGTTGATCTAAACTTGATATTTATTATAATTATTTTTACTACAGCTTTCATCTAATACAAAAATGAGTGAAGGAGAAAAATTTTACACTAACATCACCAATATATTTTATACTAAGTTATAAATATTAGAAAATAAATTCATTGTTTTTTGTTTCTTACTAGATTAAAAAATTATCTTTTATAGGAAGTATTTATAACTTTAATTCATTCTATGTAATTAAGAAAAAGCATACAATACCAATCTTTAAATTATACATTATGTAGCTTGAATTATTAGCTATAATCAAAGTCTATGAATTACTTTAATACTAATTAATCATAGTAATTTAAAAGGCTTTCAGTTTTATTTTCCATATCCTTATCATTTATTATATTTATTAATTAATCTCAATATTCTCAGATATAGTTATTGTGTATTTTTATTAACATTCACTTTATTCTTTTTCAGTAAAAAAACAACTTTTTTCAAATCAAAAGTTTTAAACTATGGATTTAGAAAATTATAAATAAAATATTGCCATTCAATTAAATTTTTCTCATTCTATAATTTAGTCCTTCAAACTTTTGGTCAATATTCTGATACCATTAAAAATTAAGAGTTTTGGTGGATACTCTATCAGTTAGCTATTCAGTTTTAAATATAGTTTTTGAAGCTGCCATTATTCCTATATTGACAGTTTAATTATTCGTTTTATGAAATCATGTTTTCGTATTTATTAACTATTGAACACAAAGCTGTGTAATTATTAAAACACTTGGCGTTTTCCTCTTTATTCAAGTGTTTTAATAATAACACAGCTTTGTGTTCAATAGTTAATAAGTTTAATTATATTTTTCAAATAACTTAATACTTTATAATATCTTGGATTTTATTGGAGAGAAATTTTATCAGATTTAGGATATATCTTCAATTGAGTTCTCTCAATGCATTCTCTCAATTCATCTTTTAAATGAAAAAATTTTTCAAATCCATTAATAAACAAAGCGATAATTACAAATACATTGCACTAACCTTGTATAGCCTTGCAGTTACTACTTAGAATGTATCACAAACATTTCGACCCATTTGGGTAGAAAATGTTTGTGATATGTTTGTATGCGACGCGTGAAAAAATTTTTCTTTATTTAAAAGATTTCACTTAATAGACTTCATTTCATATAATAGTGTTTCACTAATTATTGATATTCTGTTTTTAAACTTTTGATGTAAAAGTTATAATCAATCTGACTTCATATAAAGTTATGTTCTTTCATATTATTTTTAAATATGAACAGTCTAGTGACATTTATATTTATGAGATTATCTAATGTTTTTACACTTTCATGATGTGATTTTATGTTATTAAACCTTAATAAATGATACTATTTTCTTATTTTTATTCCACCTGCTACAATTGCATTCTTGTCAGTAAATAATTATAAATGAATTTTTCTACAGTATTTCAATCTGCAAATGTATTTAAATTTGAAGTATTATTAGTTTTTGTTGTGCAAACTAATAATAGATAAACTTTCTAATATTATTGCTGGTAATAAAAAGTCAAAGAACTTAATCATAAAAATCAATAATGAGAAATAAATAGTCATTACTGTTGCATATATTTCAAAAATTAAAATTATTTTTTAATTATTATATTGACATAGTATTCAAATATGTTCTAATTTATTAAGAGATATAAAAAAATCCAGCAACATGTTGCTTAACTTTCTTGGCAACATTTGATGGCACCATATTTTATTGAAAAACTTTTTATATTTTTAACTATTATAATATAGCAAAAAGATTGTAGAGTGTAGCAAAAATTTTCAGAGTAGGGATGGGTTTTATAAAAAATTGTAAATGCTCATAACAAGTAAAATCATCATTAAGTCAGATCCTACTCAAGATACACATGACCTCCTTTATCTCCCCACCCCTAGACATTTAATCACCAAAATTTAATAGTATCAATCCCCTTAAACAAACCTCCCTGCAAAATTTCAGAAATTTTTGACAAAAAAGCACAGGGGTTATTTACGCTTCAAATGGTAAACAAAATTGTCCCCCACACATGCACACTAACATCTATACATAAAGAAAAAAAAAACCCCAAATGTTTTGCATTTCTTGACGTTTCAAGGTCCTGCGTCCAAAAATGTAAAAATATGTAAATGGTGATTTTTTGACTGATTGCCATACTATCCCTCTGTTATGTATAAGAGCTGGGAAAGTAAAATTCTATTTTAAGTTTTAATATTTCTAAGATTTTTACAATAATTTTAATATTTACCAGAACTGGGTGAAGATCAACTCCATACATATCTAACCATTTCACACGATCAAGAAAATTCATTTCAGCAACTGCTGGTACTTGACCTCTGTTTAAAATGTAAAATATAATAATTTAGTGAGATATAATTTAAAAATTAAAATATTAAAGTAAAATATAATATAATTAAATTAATAATAATCACTTGTCATAATTAATAATAAAGCAATTGTATAATTTCAAACCTGAAGCAGGTTTATAAAATAAACTGAAAATGTTTGTTATACAACTCTGTGCTGGAGAATTATGTAAGATGTTGATTTTCTTATTAATAATAAAGCAATAAATTTGTTTTTAGAATTCTTTATGAAATTTTTATATTTTATCCATTGTATGTTATATGACTGCAAGTTTTGAAAAAGCATTGAAATTACTCTTCTGTTTCAAATACTTCAAATAAATTTTTAATATAGTAATTTAAAAATAAAGTTTTTAAAGAGTTATTTATAAAATTTTAAATTAAAAAACTTTTTATCAATTTTTATAAACTAGATACAATAAACATGATAATTTAAGTCTCACTCATTACAGGTTTCTGTTAGACTAACATGAAAACACAGTATTTTATGGCTATAAGATGCAACTTTTGTCAAAAAAAAAAAAAAAAACCCGTATTTTATATATGAAATTGCTATCTCCCATAGGCTTATGAATTTCCCAAATGGCATTCAGTAGGCTACAGGAAATCTCTACCGAGACCAACTCTTTAATAAAAATGTTATTGCTTAATTTAACATATTATTAGCTCTAGCTAAGCAGCTTTTACATGTATTTGAATATTTTAATGGTAAATTCTTAAATTACTTCTTTTAAACTTCTCTTTTTCCTCGATAAATAAAAGTATGCATTCTAATTTTATCTTTTTTAACCAAAATACAGTTAAAACAAATTTGGGGCTAAGTGGCTAATTTGCAGAATGGTTTAAATACAATAAATATTTCTTCCTAATATTCTGTGCTGAAATGGATGTGTATATTATATGTCATAAAGTATGGTAATTGATTTTTGACTGTCAGACATATATATAATTCAGTTTTGTAAGAATAGTTCAACTGAATTGCATTATTAAGAATCCACAGCACCACTAATTGATCAAACTATGTTTTATTATACCTGAAAATAGCAAATTAATTGAAAACATTTGCATATTTGCTTTTCACCTACTGGTGTTTTAATTAAAGCAGTTTATATATTATTTTTCTAATGTTTAAAATGTTCATTGTTGTAATATATTACTTTAGACTGATTTATATTGTAAGTTATTATTACTTTAGAATTTTGAAAATATATAAACAAAGGAAATTTTGATATTCTTTTAATTTATGAATGTAATAAACTGTTTATGTGATATACAGTGGAAACTCAATTGCTTGAATTTGATGGAACCTTTCTGATAAATGAAATTTCAGATAATCCAAAACTCATCTGTTTTGTGTTTTGATTCATCAAGCACTGTGCATTTAAAGTTTCCTAAACTATAAATACTTTAATACAATTACTGTATTTGAAAGTAAATTAATTTACCCAAAAATCTAACTTAATATTATGTATATGACCTATTTTTTCAGCATATGTAGTGATGTAGTAATTTCCAATTACATGGAGAGTTTCATCTCTATGTAATTATACTCTATGATATACAATGATAGTTGTCCTATTTTTTTTGGGGGGAATTGTTTTGGATAATGAAGAGTTTCAGATAACTGTAATTGTGTTTCTACTGTAATTAAAAAACTATAATAACCATAATGATAAACTGTTAATGTATTATTAAATTTATTTACAACTAATAATACAGTATATAATATTTATAACATACACAAGCCCTTTATGAATTTCAGCAACTTTTGCTTCTAATTCTGGAGTTTGGTTGTTTAGGAATCTGAATTCTGAAATATAACCAGGTTGGTGTCTTCTAGGATCATAATCTCCCAATTCAGCTATAAGAAATATATGATTAAGATAACTATTATAAATAAAATAATCAAAACTGATTCATCAAAAAAGAATTTAATCTACATTAAAGTCTATTAATCTCACATTAACAAAGTAAAAATTTTTAAAATGACATTTCATTAACTATATCCTGTTTTATATATATAATATTCTATTTTAAATATTGTTATACAAATTATTTACATTATTTTAAGCAATACTTAAGTATTAAGTAGTACTTCAAGTTCTTTCGTTAAGTAATACTTTTCTTTATTTTATATTAAAACAGAATTGTCACTGTCTCATTTATTCAGTTTTGCATGGGATAATCAAAGTTTATGATTTTCATTGATATTATATAATGCTATAACAATTCAAACAACAACAGAAATTATAAAATTAACAAAAGTAATATGGGATGAAACATTCTATAGTTTATACACATATATTGATTATCTATTAAACTTTATATAACTAATAATGATTAACTATAAATTAAACTACATATATAAAGAACATAAGATGCATGCTTTTGTGCCACCCAACTGATAAATTGCATGCATACTGAAGATAATTGTCTGTACACAATACTTATTATTATAAATAAATACACTACCATATCAAGAACCAGCAAAAAACACTCAGATACTTTAATGAAAACAATATTTTCTTCTGTTTTCAAACAGACATCATCAGCATGAACTGCTTACATCATTTGATTTAATAGATGTGGGTTAATTGTTTAATGATATTTAATATATAATTATTTTTTTATGTTTTATTTTGTATTTATTGATTTAATTTTCTTGTATTCCTTATTTTATTTTATGTGTGATCACTTTTTGTATTTTTTAATATTTCTGAACTTATACATTCAATATTATTATATTTTATGATATATTAATGTTCAGCTGGTTAAATTTTAATTTGTATTCTAGAACATTATTTTCCAAAAAACCGTTGTGGCAGTCCATTACATAATGTACATGAAAAAGGTTGTTAAAAACATCTGAAAATGTTTTAGTTATTAAAATTTTTGCTGCTTTTTCAAGGTTATTTGAGTGTTTGTTATCTTTGCAATGGTAGCTGTGGATTAGCAATATTAGGGTTGCCAAAAAACCCAATTTTTCCAATTTTGAACACTTGTCCTAATTGGAAAATTTATATTGTGGTCTATAACTATAACATAGGGGCCTTTTTTTGAAGTACCACCATGTTGGTAGTGAATAATAGTCCAGAATATCCAGATACCATGCAACATTCATGGTTCCATTGATAACAACTAACAGACTGTTTAATAGCAGACTCCTGTGTTTAATAGGAGTCCACTATTAAACAGACTAATTGCTATTAAACAAGTTGTTATCAATGGAATTTATTTTATCAGCAAGATAACACAATCAGTCATACTGCCCAGATTCTAATGGAGTGGTTTGCAGACATGGGAAATAAAAAATTGCATTGGCCAGCCCAGAGCCCTAATCTCAATCCTATTCAGTAACTTAAACTCAAACAATTGTCAGATTACATTGGTTTCTATTATTGCTACTAATTACTAATTAAATGTCAAGTAATCTGGCCTACAGCTAAGTGTTAGATTCCTTTTCTTGATAAATTTAATAATTATAATTAAATTAATGTTTTAATAATTAATTTAAAAGAAAAAAGTATAGAAATTGATAACTAAAGAAAAGTGCTACAGATACTTGAAATGCACATCATAAAAATGTAATAATCTTGTTGCATAAAGTCAAGTATTGGTCTTTTATAAGAACAAAGAAAGATATTTAAAACAAAAAAAAAAAAACTAAATTTTCTTCTTTTTTGAGTTAAAATTTACATACGTAATTCATTAATTAAAATTTATTTATTTAATTAATATGATTATTAAATTGAAATAAATGTCTAATTAAAATCTAAATATTCCTTGTTACATGTATTTGTTTAATTAAAACTTTAACTAGTTAAATTTACCAAAGTTTAATAAAATAAAAAGAAAGTTTTTGACTTGATTAGAGAATTATATTCATAAATAAAATCAATTTTATACAAGTTTCAAATGTAAAACTTTACAATTAAATAAATACATTTCAATAATAATAAATTTTTACAGATTATTTTTACATAAGGTAAAACCATATAGCAATCTTCATAAAGTTAAAAAAAATTTAAAATTATATTAAAAATAAAAACTTACACTGAACACTTAGAGCAAATAATTCTACTGTGAGATCAAATGAAACTGGTAATCGACCTTGTAATATATCTTGTTTAATTTGCAAAAAAAACTGATATCTGCAACATAATATAATAAATCTATATTATAAAACTGATAATTACATTTCATATAACAATTTGTTCTGTATAAATAATAAATTGAAAACAAATCACATGTTATACATATATAATTCTTTTAGAATGATCATTTGCATAGATTCTCATATTTATATCTAATATACAAAAATTTTATAATATCTGTATGTTAGATATAAATATGATTTAATATAAATCTGAATAATTTGGAAAATAATTGTTATCAATCCACATTCCTATTTCTGTTTAATATTTTCTCTCTCATCCTTAAATATAAGCATTTGTCTGATCCTTCTAATAATGATATAATATAACAGAGTTTATTGTCAATAAATCTTCTGTAACACTGCTATGAATTTTGTGCATATGCAACATGCTCAATTAAAAAATCATATTTGTTTAAAATTTTATGAAACATAATTATTTATGCTGTTTTAGCATTATTTATATCTGTTTTTCCAAGTGTAAAAATTAATTTTACACTTGGAAAAACAGATTAATATATGCAGTGATGTTTATTTTCTTATAATAAATATATATGCCCTTAAATCATGTTTTAAATAATATTTCAAATAATGTGACCAATCCATTTAAATTATTTTTGTCTTTTAAGTTTTTATTCACTGACTATTTTATCATGTATAAAGTAAAAATTTAAACAAAGTTAAAAAAACAAAATTAATCAACATTTCAAAATCAAAATTACAATTAAAACATTTATATTCAATTAAAAAACATTTTCCAAAGTTAAAAATTCGACTTCATCAATTATACAAAAAAAAGTTGGAAATTTTTCTGTTTGGATGTTAGTATGTGTGTGATATGATTTTGTTAACCCACTTTGAAGTTTAATAACTCCCACGTGTTTGTTGAAAATTTCTGAAATTTTGCATGGAGGTTGATGCTATTAAATTTTCGTTGTTAAAGGTTGAGGGGGAGATAGAGGAGGGTCATGTGCCAAATCTTGGATGGAGTTGGATTTAATGATGATATTTTTCATCATTATCCTCAAAATTAAGCTTTTTGCCACTTTATAATAAATAATATAAAAAGTTGTTTTTTAATAAAATTTCATAACAGATGGCACCATACAAATTTTAACTTTATTGACAGAAATTTACACAATTTGTTACAAAATTTTTGTAATATGTGTTACTATATAAATTTGTGTTTGTATAAAATATTTATAACTGCCCCTGATATATAAAATAATAATGCAAAAGTTTTTGTTGATAATTATTAAATAAAAAAAGAGAAACAAAAATTACAATATCAAGACATGTTGGAATATATTGTTTTGAGAAAGAGAAAAAAACCTAAGACTTAATATAATAATAAAAATATAATCTGTAGTGTACACCTGATAATTTGTCTACTGTTTAACTCATAGTTACATAATGCATCTCTTTTCCAGATTCTTACAATGTTTTAATATAATGACAAACTAAATAAAGATGAATTACAAGATGAACAACTTATCTCTTTAATTTGTTTATAATAAATAATTCATCATCTTTAAAAAGTGATGAATTATCCACTGTATAAAAATTAGATATTATTACAATAATTTATCATTCTAAAAAATAGCACTCTCTAGTTTACTGTAAAAAGACTCTCATTATATACATATATATGTAAACTGATATAAATTGTAAACTCTTTTGTGGCTGTCAAATAAGGATATGTAGCTGTATTTTATAAAATGGAAAAAAAAGAGTTTTCTTCTTAGCAAAAATAATGTTTAATTGTTTTTACTATTTTAAATAAAAATACTACTACTTTGTCTTCAATTTTAATTAAAATAATAAACATTATTTGTTTTAGAAATTCAAATTAAGTTATGTTTTTAAAATTGCAAGACATTACATAATAACAACACAGCAGTAAAAATTCTTATACAGTATTCTGTTCTTATTATAAAATTCAAACATTAAATAGGTGTTATCACATAATATATGATAATATTACATAATCTGTGATAATATCTATTAAATATCTCTTCAGTTTGTATTAAAAAAATTTTCAACTCAAAACATTTTTGTTTTAAAATATTTTTAATAGTATTTAAATAGAGAACAAAATTAAATTACTTTTTCATTTATTGTACTGTAATTATCTTTAAACTAACAAAATTAAAAACAGAAATCAAAGTGCTATGTTGGCTATAAATTTTTTATAGATATAATCTGTTTACTGTAATCATGGATATCAGCTGTTTAAATGTTATATGTTTTAGGACATGTCAATTCTTTAACTCATCATGCTTTGCAATGAGATGAGTTAAAATATATGTATAAAATGTTGCTCATTGTAACCAGAGTATTGGTTGTTGCTATTAAAATATAAATTTTTGTCTATAATTTCGTATCTTCTATTATCAGGACTTATTATACTGACTTTACAGATAATGCTACAAAGTTTTACAGAAAACAATTTTTTATTTTATTTAATATACCTGTTAAATTGTTTTCTGTAAAACTTTGTAGCATTATCTGTAAAGCCAGTATAATAAGTCCTGATAATAGAAGATATGAAATTATAGACGAAAATTTTTATTTTAGTAAGAAAAAGGACATTGAGGCATTTTAATTAAATGATATTCTTTGTGTCTAATCTTTCGGTTTTTGTGTTAACTATACACAATTCCTTTTTATTTAAATATACATACATGCACAAATTTACATTGTATTAATATTTTATATATAAAATTAAAAAAAATAGCTTTGCAAGAAAAATAGATAAATGTATTGATATATCAATAGTTATTCAATATTTGTTTGATTTTATAGAATCATTTGTGAATGAAAGTTTTAATGAAATGTTTAAAATCTGAAATTTGATTGCAGAATGAAATATTGACATTAATTTTACTTTTTAGTTTAAGCAAATTTCTCAGGCGTATGAAGTATTGTCTAATCCAGAAAAGAGAAAGATATCTATANAAAATTCCTAATAATTAATAAAAAAAATTTGTTTTTAAATTCTTAACTAAAAATTTGTTAAGAATTTAAAAACAAAATTTAAACTTAAATCCTGGAAAGAGAAAGCAGAACAAATCAAAGGAAATCTTTTTTTAAGTAAAAATGCTTTAATTTTCAATCATAAGTATTTCAACAAATATACTTAACATGCAAATTTATTAAGTAAAGTAATTGTTATTCACAGCAAAAACTTTCCACAAACCATGAATTTTCTTATGTTAATAAAATAATTTTCTTATGTTAATAATTAAATTTTCTTATATTAATGAAAAGTATTTTGAAAGTAAAAACATTTTCTCAGCAATTTCCTTAATTGTTTAATTATATTTCCTCTAATTAACCAACCACCAATTGCAAATTGTAAAAAAATTCTCATAATTACAAAACATTATATATTATTAATTCTCTATAAATTATGCTATAAATATAATATTGTAATCAAATTATTTGAATGAATGGAAATAGAAATATCTTTAGCATATGTATAATAACCAATAAAAAAAATTGCTTGCTATTATCATGATAGTTAATCTTAATATGGGAGAAAATGTGAGTTAAAAAGCATCTAATTATTCATTATGTCACTCTTGATTGCCATTGAATAAGATGACACATCAAGGTCAGTGCCAAGGACAATGACCAATGTAAAAATGTATATATAGTGTAATTGTCCTTTCTTGTTCAATATAAATCTATTATTATGTTTCCTCTTAGAGAAGTATATTTATTTTTAAGTTAAATAAATTTCATATAATAAAAATTATCATATAAATTTGAATAAATTATTTAAACTTTATATATAAACAGAATTTATAACTAATCCATTAATTTTTATTAGAAAATAAGGTAAATAAATAATGAAGTATAATGCTGCATAAAAATTTTAGAATATATATGTATCAGTACTAACAATAGGACTAAACCATAATTATTAATTTAAAAGTTTATCAATAAATTTTAAAGAATATAAATTATTATTAATATCTATATTTCAAAAAATTTTTTCAACATTTTTGTAATTTAATTTTTATTACCACATTTCATTTTGCTGTTATTGTTATAAAAATTAGCAATCATATTTTGTTTAATCTTTCAAGTAAAAATACTTTGTAGTATATTATAATAACTGTATCAGCATGTTTAATCAAAATGTTCTTTCAATATCAAAATTAGTCATATTTCTATATTTGAAAATTGTTATATCAAATATATATAAAATACCTTGTAATCTCTTCAAGTAGTTTACATGGATCAGAAGCATAAAATTTTACACCAAAATATAAAGTGTATGAATCAGCACCTAAATGAAAAGTATTTTTGATTCAAATTAAATTTAAAGAAAAAACTTTATTACATATTTAATGAACATTTAAAGCTTTTATTAACTATTATTTAAAAATTGAAATAAAATATTAAAAATAAAGTTTTACTAAAAATTAGTTTAAATTTTACAAATATATAGTATAGCATAAAATAAATAATATATAGCAAGAGAAAATTTATTGAGTGCCAAATATGTTTTTTAAAATTTATTGTCATAATTTAAGTTAAAATAAATAAGATATTAAATATAACATTTTCAATAGAAAGCTAATCTAATTATTGCTACATATTAAATATGTTAACAATCAAATACATTAGATTTTGAGTAGGTAGTACTGTACATCTGTCTGTCAAAATCATGTATTCATAACCACACCCTATATATAAAAACTGTAGGTAGAACTAGTGATTAGTGAATATGACCTCCATTCTACATCTTGATATACAATATTTAAATATTTAAACTTAATAAATTTCATATTTAGTAAATTTAAAATATTAAAAATTTGCATTATATCTAATTTTCCATAAATATTATGCACAATGTTATACTCACCTTTAAGTTGTTTCCTAAGTTTTTTAGTCGTATCTAACCAATGCTATAAAATATTTAAAAATTATTATTTGCTTTAATTAATATAATTTTCTTTTTATTATTTTGTAATTGTCATACTCTTTTTTATTAGCATTGAATATTTATATAATTAATTAAATTAAATAATGAATTACTTAATGAATTATATGATATTCTGAATTATTTGTGTTTAAAATTTTAATTATAAATTTTCTATACATACAGTTTGTCCATTAGTGTCTATGTAGCGTAATCCAAAATAAGCTGTTTCTAATAAATTCAAATGCTTGAAGACAATGTCTAATAAATCTTGCCCTTTAAAAGCATCCTATAAATAAAAATAATTTTATAGCTTTCAATTGATTACATTTTTATTCTTAATAATTATATACCGTATATATGTTAGATTCAATCAAAATTAGATGAAATAGTCAAACTTTATATTTATAAATATTGATATAAAATTTTAGACAAATGAATATTAATATCAATATTGAGATTTGTATTGAGATTCATTTGATATAGTTATAAGTGATAAATTTTGATATCTAGAATATCAATATTGATACTGCAAACATATATTGATTTTGGTTTGATTTATTGATTATTGGCACAGCAGTATACACCACTATGTTCCTGTTTTTAATGCTTGATTGTCCTTAATAAAAAATGTTTAAAATCATGTGTTAATGGTACGTGATTTCACATGATATCAGTTATGGGAAATCATATGACATGATAACACTTGACATCAAGAGATATCACTTGTTCTCATCTGTTAAAATGTTTTGTATATTTTTGATTTTTGAATGTTTGACTGAATCAATTAATGTTACTTGACATCATGTTCAGAAGTTTTTGAAAATATCTTAGAAAAGATTTTATTGTTAATTAAAGATTGAGGCCATCCATTAATTACATATACAGTTTTGAGTCACCTTTGACCACTTTCCTGTTGTATATAATAATGTACTTTTCACAATATCCCTTCCTCCCTTAAAATATACACTTAATTAATGGACAGCTCTATATCTGACTTGTATAAAATTGTTTAATTAACAATGCATTTAGTATCATTTGAAATCAATCAGAAACCATTTCAGAAATGATATATACTGATATCATGTCTGAAATGATTTTTGAACAGTTTCAAATAACATGATATATCACTTTTAATCATTTCATCACTTGATATTAAATGATATCATGTCTTGTCATTTCATTAATTGAAAGTGTCCAAACACCCCTTCAAACATGATATCAATTGTTTAAAATAATGAAATGATATTTGATTAGTGGTTCTATTCAAAAATTGATTCTACAATTTTATTAACATGACAATATAATATTACCAATTTATAGATCAATAAATAAATAAATTTTAAAAAATAACTGAAGTTCAATCAGGTTTAGATCCTATTTTCATTGATTCTGAAATATGTCCCCTACTTGGTTTGTAAATGATATGGTACTCCTATCTTAGATCAGCCTACGAGTTTTCTTCTCTTCAATAGTTTGAGATCTTTTTTGAGCTCTTCAGTTTTGGGAACAAAATTTCACTTAAAGTCAATATTATAACTTTAACACTTAGTTTGGTTGGGTTGCTAAACATTCTTTATTTCAAAAGACAATTCTTTTTTTTAACTAAACTGTCCTTGTCCTTTATTGAAACAAGAAAGGATGCAATTTGTTCTTTATTTTTATTTCTTATTGCCTGTTTTTTAATGGTAGTGATGAATCTTCACACTGCTATATGCCCTAGCCTAAACCTATATGCAATAATTTATTTAAATACATTTATTTGAATAAATAATGTATTTGATGAAATTATGTGAATTCCATATAATTTCAAATAAAGTTATTTATTAATGTAAATAATATATAACATTATTATTATTCTCTGTCTAGAGAACATTTATCACAGAAATTAAAGCTATTAGTAAGCCATAAGAAAATCTTGTTAATTATTTGATTTTTGTATATCAACAATACAATTTAGTTAAACAACAATAATTTTTTGAAAAATTTCTTCTTTATAATATAATAGAACAACAATTAATTATAGATAAGAGCTGATGCACTTTTATCATCCATAACTCTATTTAAATATTCAATAACAGTTCCAAAAATTTATTCTGTCCTATTTTGGATCATAACCTTGAAAATAAAAAATTAATCTTTCATTTAAATATCAAGTTTTTCTTTAATGACAGCAAAACTTGTTTCTCATCCAAAGAAAAATACTACACTAATAATAAAGGCAAAGCCAATAATTTCTCATACATTTTTAGTGAATTTACAGTTTTATAATTTTTAAGTAATGCAGCAAACATTTAAAATAAAAAAATTAAATAAAATTTTTTTTATAAATATCTTAAGTACAAATTATAGTGGTCTTTATAATAGAAACATTTGTGTGTAACTTAAAATATAATATGTAGGCTTCTTAATAAAGAAAATATTACGACAATTTTGATAATTATTGATGTAGGAAATAAGGCAATTATACTAATCTGAAAAAAATAATAATAAAATTACTGTTTAATAGAAAACTTAAATTTGAATTAAGTACTATANAGAATGATCATTTGCATAGATTCTCATATTTATATCTAATATACAAAAATTTTATAATATCTGTATGTTAGATATAAATATGATTTAATATAAATCTGAATAATTTGGAAAATAATTGTTATCAATCCACATTCCTATTTCTGTTTAATATTTTCTCTCTCATCCTTAAATATAAGCATTTGTCTGATCCTTCTAATAATGATATAATATAACAGAGTTTATTGTCAATAAATCTTCTGTAACACTGCTATGAATTTTGTGCATATGCAACATGCTCAATTAAAAAATCATATTTGTTTAAAATTTTATGAAACATAATTATTTATGCTGTTTTAGCATTATTTATATCTGTTTTTCCAAGTGTAAAAATTAATTTTACACTTGGAAAAACAGATTAATATATGCAGTGATGTTTATTTTCTTATAATAAATATATATGCCCTTAAATCATGTTTTAAATAATATTTCAAATAATGTGACCAATCCATTTAAATTATTTTTGTCTTTTAAGTTTTTATTCACTGACTATTTTATCATGTATAAAGTAAAAATTTAAACAAAGTTAAAAAAACAAAATTAATCAACATTTCAAAATCAAAATTACAATTAAAACATTTATATTCAATTAAAAAACATTTTCCAAAGTTAAAAATTCGACTTCATCAATTATACAAAAAAAAGTTGGAAATTTTTCTGTTTGGATGTTAGTATGTGTGTGATATGATTTTGTTAACCCACTTTGAAGTTTAATAACTCCCACGTGTTTGTTGAAAATTTCTGAAATTTTGCATGGAGGTTGATGCTATTAAATTTTCGTTGTTAAAGGTTGAGGGGGAGATAGAGGAGGGTCATGTGCCAAATCTTGGATGGAGTTGGATTTAATGATGATATTTTTCATCATTATCCTCAAAATTAAGCTTTTTGCCACTTTATAATAAATAATATAAAAAGTTGTTTTTTAATAAAATTTCATAACAGATGGCACCATACAAATTTTAACTTTATTGACAGAAATTTACACAATTTGTTACAAAATTTTTGTAATATGTGTTACTATATAAATTTGTGTTTGTATAAAATATTTATAACTGCCCCTGATATATAAAATAATAATGCAAAAGTTTTTGTTGATAATTATTAAATAAAAAAAGAGAAACAAAAATTACAATATCAAGACATGTTGGAATATATTGTTTTGAGAAAGAGAAAAAAACCTAAGACTTAATATAATAATAAAAATATAATCTGTAGTGTACACCTGATAATTTGTCTACTGTTTAACTCATAGTTACATAATGCATCTCTTTTCCAGATTCTTACAATGTTTTAATATAATGACAAACTAAATAAAGATGAATTACAAGATGAACAACTTATCTCTTTAATTTGTTTATAATAAATAATTCATCATCTTTAAAAAGTGATGAATTATCCACTGTATAAAAATTAGATATTATTACAATAATTTATCATTCTAAAAAATAGCACTCTCTAGTTTACTGTAAAAAGACTCTCATTATATACATATATATGTAAACTGATATAAATTGTAAACTCTTTTGTGGCTGTCAAATAAGGATATGTAGCTGTATTTTATAAAATGGAAAAAAAAGAGTTTTCTTCTTAGCAAAAATAATGTTTAATTGTTTTTACTATTTTAAATAAAAATACTACTACTTTGTCTTCAATTTTAATTAAAATAATAAACATTATTTGTTTTAGAAATTCAAATTAAGTTATGTTTTTAAAATTGCAAGACATTACATAATAACAACACAGCAGTAAAAATTCTTATACAGTATTCTGTTCTTATTATAAAATTCAAACATTAAATAGGTGTTATCACATAATATATGATAATATTACATAATCTGTGATAATATCTATTAAATATCTCTTCAGTTTGTATTAAAAAAATTTTCAACTCAAAACATTTTTGTTTTAAAATATTTTTAATAGTATTTAAATAGAGAACAAAATTAAATTACTTTTTCATTTATTGTACTGTAATTATCTTTAAACTAACAAAATTAAAAACAGAAATCAAAGTGCTATGTTGGCTATAAATTTTTTATAGATATAATCTGTTTACTGTAATCATGGATATCAGCTGTTTAAATGTTATATGTTTTAGGACATGTCAATTCTTTAACTCATCATGCTTTGCAATGAGATGAGTTAAAATATATGTATAAAATGTTGCTCATTGTAACCAGAGTATTGGTTGTTGCTATTAAAATATAAATTTTTGTCTATAATTTCGTATCTTCTATTATCAGGACTTATTATACTGACTTTACAGATAATGCTACAAAGTTTTACAGAAAACAATTTTTTATTTTATTTAATATACCTGTTAAATTGTTTTCTGTAAAACTTTGTAGCATTATCTGTAAAGCCAGTATAATAAGTCCTGATAATAGAAGATACGAAATTATAGACAAAAATTTATATTTTAGTAAGAAAAAGGACATTGAGGCATTTTAATTAAAGTTGTTGCTATTGTTATCTTCAGGTANGTCCAGAACTTATGACTGAAACAAAATGTCATCTAAGTTGAACATAAAAAATAATGGCAACAATATACTGTATATTGTAATCAGTTATTGTGCATACATAAAAGCTGGCCTTCTCCAGAAAAAAACCCAAGTACAAATAAGTTTTTGGAGTCCCAAAAAATTTTTCAATGATAAAAAAAGCCTACCATATTTTCATTAAAAAATAACAACAAAGAAAATAAAATGAAAAAATAAAAAAATAAATGTATTACAAGAAATTCATTATCTTTGTAAAATTTATATTTAAAAATTCCAATATTATATAAATATTTGACCTCTGTCATCATAGTCTGGTCATATTGTGTGACAATGTCATTTTGTATAAACAAATAGGAATCTATTGCTTTTTTACTTCACATAGGGCTAGATTTATGAGCTGGCACCCTAAGCACATGTACAAGGGCCTCTGGAAAAATGAAAATAAAAAAGAAAAATCAAAGAAAAAGTGAGGAATGATTCAGGAAACAAAATACAACAAGCTATATTTATAAATACCATATAAATTTAAAGTAGAGACTGCTACTGCTTAATGAAATTTGCACAGGCATTAGTTGTTACATGGGTCTCCACAATCATGACTATTCTGGGATTACCCATAAATAAATCTGTCTCTGACTTACAGCTCCTAGCACTTGACACATGACTGTCCACCTGTTGAATTTTAATTTCTTTATTTTTTACAAATTATATTTTGAAGAAATGCCACCTCTAAAAAAGTGCCATCCCAAGCATGTGCTTGCTTTGCTAATGCCTAGAGCTGAACCTGCTTAATTTACAATAAGTTAGACAACTATTTTTAGTGCAAATTCTTATGTTATCATTTGTCAATGTGCATATATAAAGTATATATTATACATATATATGAAAATAGCAAAAGTAACATATATGTCATGTAAAGAATGCTTAGAGTTTCACATAATGTTGCCACTCATTCTTATTTGGTACAGATAGTACTTACTTTATTTGTAATGTCCTTCCATCTTTATTTAGTAGTGAAATATCTTTTCTAATAGCAAAATGGATTGAAAAAAAAACTGTTGTGGCTAATTATTGACAGTTAGTGTTTCTTAACTATATCATAGAGAAGTTTATGAAAAGAGATTTACCGTGAGGTGTCACAAGACATTCCTTAAAAACTGGTCATTACAGAAATTATGGAGAAACTATCTAGAAGGCTCCAAAAGAGTCTAACACCAGTAACATTTGAACATTCTAATGTGATTTAAAGTTGCTAAAATGGTAACCCTGATAGCCAAAATTATAATTTTCCAGAAATTTAAAAATCTGGATAAACATGTTCTTGTCCAAGGTCATCAAATAACACAGAAGTATTTAGTCAAGTTTTATATGTATTTGTTAATCAGTAAAAATACAAGTGAAAAAGCTGGTTAGTTTTTAGCCTGAGATATACCTAGTATTTCTGCTAGAAAAATGAAATTATTTAAAATTACATATAGTAGATTTAGTATGTTCTTGATATAAAGTATTGTAGTGCTGCACCACTATTGTTCTTGGGTTAGGTGAGTGTATGTATACCCTTATTGTACTAGGTCCGTTTCCCGTACCTGGTTTTGGAATTGTAATTTTCGTTTTTTTTTTATTTTTCTTCGTTCTGGTGAAAACCGCTTTTTTTTTTTGTGGCATAGCTGCGTTGTTTCAATTGGCTGTGCAGTGTTCACGTGGTAGGTGACATGGCACGATGGCGGGACATAAAAATTTGCCATCCCACGCATTGAAAGGGAAATTCCTTTTGGCGGACTGGGACTAAGACTGGACGGGCTGAGGTGCCCCGGAGTGTGCAAGGAGTACAAGTCGACCGAGACAAAGGAGGACAGGAATTCGCCATGGACAAAATCCATCTGCATCGCCAAAGCCACGTGAATGAAGCAAATTTTTAGATGACTCTGGAATGCAAGAGGAAGTTTTTGAGCAGACGCATAGGTTAGTTCAACGAGGGAACTACGTCTGTGAAGTGATTGTACAAAAAAGTAAAATTTTTCTTTATACCCGTATCCGCGAAGGAATAGTTAATCTTTGACGCGAGCATTTATCATTTGTACCTTGTAGTGATGAACCCTAGTGTATTGATATTGCCAATCATTAAATATTTTCTTATTTTTGACACAAGTCGTTTGTTTAATGTAAAAACCTCAAGTAACAGTTTTTACCCGACCCTTTGTCCAGAGTAACCTCGGTACTCACTGGATACTACAGTATGCAATTAATATGTTATGAAAGTTTACATATAAAGTTGAAAAACTGTGTAGTGCATAAGTGCAATGTATTCATTTCAGAAGAAAGCTAAATAGTTTTAATTATGAAAAACTTTGAAAAAGTAAAAGTTTTTATTTTTTCAAAGTTTTTGCCATCTATTACATATGTTCAAAGCAGCACTTAATGGATGAAGACTTAAGTTAAAGTTTTACAATTGCATATCTACAAATCTGTGTAATTTGAATCTGCATAAATCAAGAATTTACTTTAACATTTTGATTTATAAAATTAAAAAAAAGAGATGTAAAATTTAATTTTATGGTAAAGTTACTCACATTTTTATCTCTAACTCTCAACATAAAATATCTTCCTTTAAAATATACTTTTGTTATTCTTGGCCTAAAAATTAATAGAAATTAGTTGCTGAATTTCATATTACAAATTTATATTTATTATGAATTTCCATTAAAATTATATATAATTATTTCACTTTAAAATCTGTAGTTTGAAGTAATCATTTCATTTTTTTAAAGCAGATGTAATTTAATATAATCAGAATGCTGAACTGAAGAAAGAAATAAGTTAGAGCATTTTTCAAAGTGAGGTAAGAATGACATTATTAGGCTCTAAAAGCTCCACCTTATAAGTTTTAGAAAAGAAAATACTCTTACATTTAAACAGAAGGTAATTATGTCCGATAAATTACAATTAGGAAAAACTAAATTAAAAATGATATGATAACTGTTAGTTACATTCATTTGTGATATATATTTATATACAAACATTATGCTAAATAAAGTTTCAACTATAAAATATCATTCTAGTGATCATGAGTATTTGATTAGTCGATTATCCATGACACATTCATGATATAGAAATAATGAATGATCTTTGAACAATCTTTGAAGATACTAGTTATTATGTCAGATATTATTAGTAAAAAAATTTTTAAATGTAATTTTTTAAACTCAACAAAACAACAGAATGCATTATTATAAAATGGAGGAAAACTTGTTCTAATGATCTAATATTTCTGTTAATTAATGTAAAATTTTTTAAATTTTACATTAATTGTTGGAAAACTACATAAAAAATTTGGCATTTTTCTGTTTTATTATTCACATGTGACATTGCACATGTGTGCCATGCAAATGGTGCACATGTGCAATTTTAACTGGCTTTAGTAATCACAAAGTATTTAAACTGTTTCCACCAGTATAGAATCTTGGGAAACAAGGTTTCTCCTTTGGTGTTTTAATGAAAAAAATGGGTTTAGAATTTTTTAAATGTGTTTTGAAACAAAGAAAAAAAAAGGAAAATTTGAAATAGCAAAATTTAGAATATTATCATCTACTTATAGTCTACTAAAGGCTACAGTAACAAAATAGTCATTAATAAGTGTTTTCTTATCCCATCTATTCACATGCTAAACTTAAAATTAAGAACATGGATAAAGTGATTGTTTTACCATATTTACATGCTTGACATTATGGGAAAATTAACAACATGGATACAGCAAAATCTGTTCTGTTATCCCATCTTTTAACATGCCCAAGGTAAAGAAGAAATGAAAATTGATAACAAAATAGACAGTATGTCTGTTTTATGGTTGTGTTACTATGTGAAAATACAGCTTTTTTTCCCCACATAATAATCATCATAATGAATTTTCTATAATTGTCTTCTGCACATTTTACAAAATATTAATTTATTTAGATAGTTATGAATAAAACTAGTTCAGTAAAATCACTCTGTAAATTTTATAATCATTCAAGCAATTTAATACTGATACAAAAATTTAACTTACCAAAAATAATTTCCAACTTTAGTTTTATTTCGAAGAACAATAATACCACTTGGTGTTAAACCTAAGAAATATTCAATATTATCTTCTCCCTAAATAAATAAAAGTATCTATAAAAATTCAATTGTCTATATTTTAAAATAATATCATTCACAACAGATTATATTTTTAACAAGCTATATATATTTAGTAGAGAACTGTAATAAATTTTATTATGTATTTGTTTAATTTAAAAAAATTGCTAAAAATAAGAATTTTAAACTGAAAATGAAAATTATAATAATAAACAATAAATTAAACTTAGTAATTACATAACTAATTACTATTTCTATTTACAATTTTAGTAATAATTTCAGTTAAATTAATATTAGAAACATGTTGAGTGTTAGCTTGAAGATTAAATAAGTCTTAATATGAAAATCAAAAATTAAGTAAGTAATAAACATTCCTTAAATTTATTTCATATATGATTTAAAAATAATTCATGAATAATCATATATTATTATTGTTGTAATATTTTTAAGCTTTCATATAAAATGAATACATTTTATTAAATTTTGTTTACCAGTAATTTGTATTTTAATACCTCATTATTTGTATCAATACTTTGAATAATTTGATTTATATTGAGTTGAGATGAAAGTTTGTATTTTTCAGTAAATGTCAGAGATTGGTAGTGTGATTTAATTAAAGCTATTGTGATTGTGATATTTAACACATTACTGATAATATTTCATATCAGTGTCATTATACTCTCATTTTGAGTTTCCTTTTAAACATTTTGTTTGGATAAAATCAAAAATCAACAGATAATATGCATATATGCTTTAAGAGTTTTGGATAGATATCACTGTCATACAAAGCAGTCTGGGGTATGGTGCAGTATGAATGACATAAGGTGGAGCTTTTAGAGCCTAATAAAATTATAAATTTCATACTGTTAGCAATTAGATCAAGTAAACAAATGTCTTAAACAAAAATACCCACATCTACCCAACTGGAAAAGAACTGTCTTTCAGCAAAATAATTCATGTCCTATGTTAGTATGACAATGTAACAAAAAAAATAAAACAACTGAATTGGAAAATTTTACATCAACCACTCTATTTACCTAAATTAGTACCTGATTTTCATTTATTCTTGATTATTGTGAAATTATTTAAATCATAAAAAATTTTTAAATGTTCTGAAGTGAAATAGGATATATTATTACTCTTTTAGTCACAACTAAAGACTTTTTTTTAATACAGACAGAACTAATAAACTGAAATGTTGGGAAGAGATCATTTCAAATGAGGGCTAATTGCCTTTATTTTCAATTTTTGACTAAATAAATAGTGTATTTACTCTAATAATCTATATTCTTGAGTAATCTGCACATACTGTTGTTTAAGAAATAATTTAAAAATTTTTTTATAAACATATTTAAAAATTTTTACTAACTTATGGTTGTAACACAGTAGTTATATTCACCCTTGTTGTTTTGACACATTCAATACTTGGCACTCAGTTTACAGGACTATATGATATCAAAAGGAAAAATTACAAAGGAAAAATTACAAAGGAAAAAANTTTATATAACATAATCAAATCAATTTAATTAATTTAATATAACATATTTTAAACATAAAACAATAACAACAGTGTCTTCAAATTTAAGATACAAGAGTTGGAATTTTGATAGTGGCAACTATGAAATTACTATCTGTACAAAAAACATACACATTTTAGAAAACAGTCTTCACAATGAAAAATAAGAATAAATTTCTATATTGTAAATATCAGTAAAATGAATATGTGGATTTATATAACATAATCAAATCAATTTAATTAATTTAATATAACATATTTTAAACATAAAACAATAACAACAGTGTCTTCAAATTTAAGATACAAGAGTTGGAATTTTGATAGTGGCAACTATGAAATTACTATCTGTACAAAAAACATACACATTTTAGATTTTCACTATCATTCAATGTAGTTGCCAGTGATGTGGAAGTCGCAGGATGCCATTAGCCTAGCATATTTGGTTAATTGCTTGAATAGAGCTGTCTGAAGAATACCTGGAAAAATTCTGAAGCACCTTCTGTGCACAGTGGTTCCTTCATTTTAGGAATCAAGTTGAAGTCACAGGAGCTTAAGTCTGGAAAATACAGTGGATGGTAGAGAACTTCTCAAGAAATTCTCAGCTCCAGCACAATGTGACCATATGACAATGTGACAGAATAATGTGACCATACATACAATATGTGCTTGAGAATTGTCATTCAAAATGGATGGGTTCTGCAAAATGTGTTTCTGCTTTTCTCTCAAAGCTGGCTGCAGATTGTTTTCAAAACTGCAGATTAATGCTGCGTGTTTACAGTCTGGTCTGGGGTATGGCATTCACTTGTTCTTCACTTGCATGGGAATGACATGGACAAGGCTTATCTTTCTCTTTTTCACATCCCTCATTGAAGGCTTTTACCCACCCATTTTGCTATTGTTCTATATGTAGATTTTCCACAAGCCTCTAAGAGTCCTTGGCAACACTGACTTTTAATCTTTATCCAGTTTTGCCACTCCAATTTTGACAACATCATGATTAAACTGGGTGATAGCAACAGGCCTTTCTCTTCTTGTCACTGCACAGGCACATGGAGTTAGATGGTAAAGGCTATTTGCTCTGAGGTAAGTTAGGTATGTAACAAACATCTGGTCTAGGCAGCATCAGCTAGTTGCATTGTATTGGGTTTCTATAGCATTGTTGCCACTATTAAATTTTGAACTCACAAATTATACAGCACTATCTTAAATTTAAAAACTCGGATTGTTTTCAAATTTAAGATTGGAGATGATTATGGCCCTAGATGGTATGGCAAGTGACATATACAGTTATACCTTTTAAATTAATTAGTCTTTAGGAGAGGATCAAACAGTGGTCGGGACAGCAGCAGTCCTATATTTCTGGTACCCTGATATTTGAATTGTTATAGACCACTTCACAACCAGCAATAAAGCATAACATCCAACATGGTTCAAAGGATCTTGTTGTTCTTGCAAAGATCTCAAGGTCCAAATAGCAGAGTGTGTGATGGAAAGTGGAATCCTCGAAATTGGGCAGTAAATTGAGCACCTTCTCATCAGCAATGAAGCCTAGGTAACTGCTATCATATTCTATATTCTTCAATAGGGATTGTTCTATAGCAGATCACCCAAATTTTAAAAAAATTTAACCACTATATCTCTGATTTTGATTATTGATAAATACTGAGATATTTATGTTAAAGTCACTGATGTGAATAAAAATTTCTTAGGCTATGCCTTGCAGTTTTTAACTTACAGATATTTTGAGGCCACTTGAAATTGACATTAGAGTCTAAGGTCAATATAAAATACTTCAACTCATTGGCTTATGATTCTATCACTAAAATAGCCTTATTTAAAAACAAACTTAGAAAACCTTCATCAATTTTGTTAAAAATTCATTACTTAAATCCAGCAATAAGTTGTGTAACTTTCCCAGCAATAAAGTTTAAAATTGTGTGGGACACCATCCATTATAAAAAGTTTTTATAAAGTCTCATATTATTAATTATTATAAAGTGGCTAAAAGCTTAATTTTGAGGATAGAGATAAGTTTTGTAAACAGCTGTAAATGCTAATGAGTAATTATTTATTGTGACATCATCACAATGCCAAGCTGCAATTTTTAATCATATTTTTAATTTATTTAATTTAAAATGTATGCTCTCCACCTCAAATTAGTAATGTCTTGCTCCTGTACATCATACTTTTCCTGTTAGCAATAGAATTGTACCAGTCATCCAGCTAATTCCTTTCAAGGAAAAACTTTTTTATTGAAATAACATGAATTCTAATCCAAACTGAAAGTTTGTATATGGTTAATCAGACCTTGTGCCCCTAAGCTTTCTCAACTTTCATCTGTTTAATGCCATTCTTAAGATTAAGGAAGGACAGACAAATGAATGGACAACAGTGGGAATTTATAGGTCTACAATTTTTTCAAATTGCAGCCCAATAAAAAGTAAAATCTTCATTAAGTCTGATTCCAATCAAGATATGATACATGACCCCCCTCTATCTCTCCACCCCCTTGGCTTTTAACCACCAAAATTTAATAGTGTCAGTCATACTAATACCAAACTTCCCTGCAAAATTTCAGAAATTTTCAACAAATGCACAGGAATTATTAAGTTTCAGAGTTGAATGAACAAAATCATGCTCCCTGCACATACACACAAACTAACATCCATACATACAGAAAAAAATCCCTAACTTTTTTTGCATTTCTTGACGTTTTAAGATCATGAGTCCGTAAATGTGAAAATGTTGGAAGGATCATTTTTTGACCAATTATCATACTTTTCCTCTGTTATATATAACAACTGGAAAAGTAAAAATTGTTTAGTTATTCCTCTGATATTAGTGGCTCTAAAGATTAAGCTTCATTAGTTTCATAATAGATTTGCTACTGGGTCCAGATAGCATAATTGGCAACACATCTACACAGAAGTAGAAGTTGAGGGTTTGAGTCCTACTCTGGATTGATCTTTTCTTCAGAATATTCTAAATTAATTAATTTATTTCTAAATATTGAGTTTAATACAAAATAATGATTTAATCTTTATAATTAATTAGCCATATCATGGCTTCATTAAAATTTACTGGTATCGTTTGTTTATTACTATATCTCAGGCTTGGTTTTATATGTATTTACATATTATTTATAAAATATTAGAGAATTAATTTACTATTTATTATTTTATCATTTAAAACCTAAACAACAAACCTTTTTTTGTTTCGACTTTTCTGAGATGATTTAGATGTTTGTGATCCTTTAGATATTTTTGATATTTCACTTTCATTATCTGATCCTCTTCTACTCCTATGATGTCTAATAAAAGTTAAGGAAGATTAAATAAGTATGAATGGTAATTTGCATAATTACTATATTTACTGAAGTGTAAGATGTTCTTTTTTCAGGTATAGTATCTCTAAAAATAGGTTGCATCTTAGATTCAATGTATTACCTAATATTTAGTAACCTCTAGTGTCAGGCATCTTATTTTTCTGTAACTAACTCTAA